ATGAAGAGAAAGAAGATGATGGATTGTCAACAAAAAAGATAATGGAATAGGTATAAATGAATAATGAAATAAAACTAGAGATATTTGCAAAAAAAAAAAAAGGGAGAATATAAAATATGAAAGAAAATGAAAATTAAAATGCGAAGAAATTGAAAGAAAAAAAAAGGGATATTTTACTTGTGGGAAAGAAGGAGAAGGGGAGAGAGAACCGAATATGAAAAGGAGAAGGCAATGGGTTGTTCTGGTTTTAGAGCCCTTATATAGTCAAAATATATTCGATAGAAATTTTATCGATTATATTGAAAGAGAGTTATCGATTATATTTCAAATCTAATTAATTGAGAGATTTAATTTTTCTTTTTGGGTTGAATGGGCGAGTTTCAAGTACAATCAACAATTGAATATGTTGTTGGTTATGTTGCTATAATTGACAGCCATTTGCGGTTGATTATACATATAGCTAATAGTAAATTTAATTGTCGATTATTTGCTCTACTTTTTTTTTTTATTTAAACTGATGTTTAGTAGGTTTTCTCATTTGCATATTTTGGTTGATTCCAAGCAAGTGCTCTATAAAAGTGGTAATTATCCTATCAAGAGGTTTGGTTTATCTAGTTCTCTCCTTTTTTTTTTTTTTTTTTTTTTTTTTTTTTTTTTTGGGTTTTTTTTGCTTAGTTTCTTTCTATTGATTGTTCTGTAAAATTTTGGGTTTTAAAATTACAGAGAATTAATTTTTCAGGGCTTGCACTATTAGAAATTTGATTTTTTTCAGCACTTCTATCGATTACTATAATCGACGGTCAATTTTTTGTCAACAACTTTTTTGTCGATTATACTTGTACAATCAACAAAAAATTGATTATTGATTATAAATTTGTCAGTTATACTCTGTTTTCTAGTAGTGGAATTGTTAAAATTTTGTGTAAATATGATGTATAAAATTTATATGTAACTAAATCTCTCATCTTTTAGATTATTTGATATTTATTTTGAAAAATTAAATTCAAGGTAAATTCATTTACAATTTGATTAGTATAATGAAATAAATTACATAAAAAAATACAGTAGGACTAATTTTTTGAGATGTAGCAAGTAGGCCATTGTCTTAAGCAATGTAAAATCTTAGGTTAAGTAAATAAGGTTAAACCCCTAACTTAGTTCTTCAACTATTATATGAATCTTTGAGTTTGTCTTTAAATTAAAAAAATCCATGATTTAGTCCTTAAAATTTTTAAATTTGATTCCAAATTTATTCATTTGATAAAAAATACTGATGTATTCCATTATTAATGTGATATGTGGTCATCAAGTAATGGTGTTTTACCATCAAGTTATGGACATGTTAGCTATTTTTTAATGGACGGACCAACTTAGAGCTAAATTTAGAAATTTTAGGAACTATATTAGGATTTTTTTAATTCAGAGACTAACTGAAAAGTTTATATAATAGTTGAGGGATCAAATTAGGGATTTAACCATTAAATAATTCTTTTTGCTCTGTAGGGTATGCGAATATATTAATGACAAACGGGAAAGCACCCGGAGTGCACGCCACAAGGCCTGTGCTCCTAAGATGGTCTTTCGTTTCTATTTTGTCTTTACAATTGTCCCCTATATATGACATTTTTTTACCCAAAAAATATATATATATATATGTCATATTCTATGATAAGCCAATAGTTTAATTAATTCAGTGCCATAAAGTAAAATTTATTTAGTTATATTAACTTCAGATTTAAAAAAAAAAAATTACTAATTAGTTATAAACTACTTTGCTCAATTACAATTTTACTAGTATCCAAGGAAAAGCAGGTGGATTACCACTTGCACCATTATTATTGGATAATCAATCAGTTCAGTGATGCAAGGAAACATGAATCCAAATGAATTGGGCATTCAAGCAATTCAACTATGAATGCAAACATGAATCCAAATTTCCTGTGATGCATTATAAAAGTAAACGGGGAATAAGTGTATTCCACATCATATAACCTATATAATTGACAGTTTTATTCCCCTAACGCCATAGGACACATGCAGAATGAGACAGAGGAAGCAGGCCTAGCTATAATTAAAATATGTACTAGTATATGCATGATCTCATTGTGTGTGTGTATTTTTTTTTTTTATTATGTACCAAATCAACATAGATTAATTGAATAAACATACAATCAATAAATGAAATGTCCATCCACAGGTGGTGCTTAAAAAAATACTGCAAGAAATGAGTTTTTTAGTGACAAAAAATTGTGACAAATGTTGAAATCAACACTATAACTCATTACATTTGTGATAGAATTTAAAAATTAATCACAAATGTAAGTATATTTAATAATAATAAAAAAATTCATCATTAAAAAAATATTTCATCAATGAAACATGGTCACAAATAAAAAATAAGTTTATAACAATAAAAATCATCACTATAACTCATCCCAATTAAGACAAATTTTAAATATTGATCACATATACCTTATACATTCAATGATGACCAAATAATTCACTACTAAAAATTGTCACAAAAAGAGTACATACTTGTGATGATAAAAATCATCACTACATTTAAACCTTATTTAAGTTTTTTCTAATTAACGCATCCCACATTGACAAAAAACACATAAGAGAATAAGGTTTTGCACTATAAATATATCCCACATTGGTGAGAAATATCTAAAAAAATAAAGTTTTGCACTATAAAACATGTGAAGTTTAATAAAACTTGAGTTTAGTCTGGGCCTGATTAATTTTAATCAAAATTGATTAGTGTTAACATTTTTTATTAAACTTTTGTAATAAATTTATATATTAATTTTTTTATGATAGAATTTTTGTTACAATATTTGTGTTATAATTATATAAATATCTTTTTGATTTAATATCAATTTTAATAATTAATGACTAAAATTTTCATCACAATTGCATTTGTGACTTTTTTTTTGTCACTCAATTGTAACATTTGTAAGGAAAATTATTGTAACAAAAATATTTTTTTGTGATGACTAAATTTATTACAAATAACTCATTAATAATGTAAATTTTTTTCATCACTATAAAATTATTTTCTATGACAAGTATCAAATTCGTCACTAAGAGTATTAATGACAAGGGTTTTACTAATAATTTAAATTTTATCACTAATTTTAATTTATTACGAAAAATAAAAGTTTAGTAACTAATAATTTAATCACTAAATGTGGATTCCCTTGTAGTGAAAATATGCATAGCTTAGGAAAAACTTACATGCTTTAATTGTGCAGGAATGGTGTTCCAACCCCAAAATTAATAATCAAAATAAATAATTAAGAACAAATTAATAATCAAAACAAGCATAATATTAATTATATAAATTATAATGCAACAACCACACAGGAATAATATTCAAAACAACCTAGCAAAGTATTGGCTCAAGTCTTTAAACTTCATAAAAACAGCAACACTAATGCGTGTGTCTCTGTGTGTGTATATATATATATATATATATTTTTTTTTTCTTTTTTTTTTTCATGTGCCACCGAGACAAAACTGATCCGCCAGTATCAACCTCTAGGTGGAGAATAGAATCTGCACAAGGTCGTTAACTTTGACAGAATCACCTTCCTCTATTGCATCCAAGATGTCAACCATAATTTCCTCTTGGCGTGCCATCCTCTGCAGCACCAGCCGCAGTCCCATCCTAATTTCGATAATTTTTGGTTGAATGCTAGACAATGCTGCGTTGAACTGCTTTAACTCCTCGCCATAGCTACGCAGTTGGTGCTTGACCTTTTTTATCCTCTTTGCCACCTTGTCCTTGGCTCCCTAGATTAATTAATTTTCAATCAAATTATTTAATTTTTGGCACAGAAAAAAAAAAATATTAACTATCAAATAAAATAATGCAAGTACCTGAGGTAGCGCACGCTTCCTTTTGTGAGTGTCATTGTCCCTTCGTCCTCGCTTACCTGTCTCCAATAATGTATGGATAACTCTCATCATTTTTTTTATAATATTTATTTGAAAGTAAGAACAAAATACATCCACAAAATAAATATAAATAAAGATTTTTTTGGTACATAATATAAACAAAGATTTAGTTATGCAACAAGGAGACAACTTTATACTGTTTATTAAGAAAAATAATTTTTTTAAAATTATTTTATGTTCAATCATTAGCCCAAACCCCAACAGAACTTTACAAATAGAGAAAAAAAGGAAGCCTTTACTTGGGAATCTGGCTTAGATTTGGGAGGCTGCAATCGTGCCTATGTCTCATGAATCAAAGGCGATTAGACTGCGCCGGCGTATCTAGGGATCGAAGAGCAAAAATTAAAGAGACAGGCGTACCCATGATGTACCCAGATCTAAGCTTAGGGTTAGGGTTGAGTTTGATGGCAGTGATGGGTCGAAGTCATCCCGGTGGGAGACCCGACCCAATCAAATTAAGCTCATGCGCTCCTACCTGGCTAGACTCAAGGCAAAAACTGTAATGGCCGGGGTGGGTGTCGTCACGGAGGGGACCCGACCCGACATAATCAAGTTAACTCATTCACTCCTACTAGACTAGCCTCAGGCAAAAACTGTGATGACAAGGGGCGCGTCGTCACGGCGGGGAACCGACCCGACCCGACCCGCTCAAACGCCTCTGACGAAACACACGCAAATAAAAAGACAACAAACCCACACCAAGATCACCTGCAAAACTAAATCTTTTCCAATTTACAAATTGAGGTTGAGCTAAGTTGGTAAGTGCATATCCTGTCATCCAAAAAGAGACCCATGATCAAAAGAAAAATGCCAAAAAGGAAAACATTAGCCGTTTGTCCAAAAATGCCCTGAATCTGTTACAGACACATCCACGGAGAAATGAAAAAAAAAAAAAAAAAAAAAAGAGAAAGCAAAAAGTAGGTTACCACTCTCATTAGAATTGGCAGCGACGGCGGCGGCGGTTCCTGTGGCGGCGGCGGCGGCGGTGGTGGCGGCGAGATTACCGGCTGAGTTTTGAGGGCAGTGATTCATTCTGAGCGAGAGTGAAAAGCGTAAGCCCAAAAAGGGGTGTAAAAGAGAGAAATTAACAACAATTGTTTTGGTGGCTAGCTTAACTCTGAAGGTAGGGATCTATTTAATTTATAGAGGAATTTTTAAGATGTAATTTTATGATTTTCTAAAACAGAGAAAAAAAAAAAAAGGGTGGGGGAGATCGGGCGAGAGGTCGAACGTCTTGGGGGAAGCTTCCACGAAATCGTTCGATTAGATTCCCAACGAAAGAAGGTCTTGCAATTTGCAATTTATCCTACAAACAGTACATTTTATAATTATAAAAAATTACTACATTAATCACTAATCAAGGAATAACTATTTTTTTTAGCAATTAACAATTTTAAAGAGCAATGTAGATTATTTTGAGTTTATATAATACACTAATAGGATTTGCAATCTTAATAACAGTAATAACAAGCTTTTCTTTTGGTATTAACGAAAGACTCTCATCTTTTAATGGACGAACCGAAAACTAGGAATGGGTCCACGTGTTATGGTATGTTGTTTCATTATGATGCGTATTTTTTATAATTTACGATTACCTGACAACTTCAACATGATAATTTTTTTTTATAAAGGTAATGGTTAATAGGTTAATATTGTTAAATGTTAACGACTGAAAATTTAATCTCTAAATCTAGTAAACAGTCCAACTATCTCAATGAAACGTGCAACCAACAAGTCGCTTAGTAGAGTTCAACCTCAACATAATAAGGTTAGACTATTTTAGGTAGAAAATGATTGGACCTATATGTTATAAATTCAACAAATGGTACACTCAATTTGGGGTGAGAAAAAGAGGAAAAAAGTGATGATGCGTTTCTCTTTTTATTTAAAAGTATTTAAAATATTGTATATATTAATTTATTAAAAATATATATAATTTTATTATTTAAATTATTTTAAATTATACAATAAAAATTATTTATAAAACAAAATTTTTAATATTAAAAATTTTTTATTAAATGATTAATATTTTATAATATAAAATAATTTAATTTATAAAATATTTTTTATCTATTAAATAACACATAATAATAATAATAAAATTATAATTTTCCAACAACATTTTAATTATATCATTGCGTATCCCACAATTATAACTTGTCCGTTTTGATTGGTACGTGTCTGGTACGTGTCTGGGACTTGTCTGATTATTGTCAGTTTAGAAGTCAACAATGGTGATGATCTTAGGACTATTAGTTGGACGGCGGGAGAGCGACGATATCCATTGCTTGAGTTCAACCAGCTGATCTTATCCACAACCATAAATGCTTCTTCCTTTCATCAATCATCATCATCATTATTGGCATTAGATGCATTACCATAAGCATCATAATAATCATCATCATCATTATTGTCATGAGCAATGCTAGCGGCACTTACTTTTCGCACTCTCCGACCAACACTTCCTCTTTCATTGGGCCACGTAAGCTTCTTTAAAGCTTTCAGCGCAACTTCCGAAGAACCAAGATAACGTGGCCCAATAATAGAGAAAGTGTTGATCGGAGAGTGCGAAAAACGAGTGCCCCTAGCATTGCTCTTATTGCCATTAGATGCATTACCATAAGCATCATAATAATCATTATCATCACTATCATTAGATTCATTACCACTGCTGATGATGAATGGTGTAAATTAGGACATTTGTGCTGGCTAAGCTTTCTCCGGCTTATGCTTTCATTAGCCTCGTACCACGCCGTCTGAACTCAGTGAGGGAGCTCACTGCATACTCTCTACTTCCAATGCATTCTTTTTTTTTTTTTTGTTTTTTTTTTTTTGAATAAGTTGTCAAGGTACGGGCTCAAAACCCGCTCATGAAGGAGGAGAAATGCACCTCAAACTAGTAGAGTGTCAATTGACCCGAAGGGTCAGATGCAATTTCCAATGCATTCTTTGTTTACTTAGTTATCTTACTTTTCATTTATAAAAAGCTCATATCATTTTACGATTTAAATTGTAAAATATTTTTTAATTATATAATTATAATAAAAAAATATTATTAATTTATATTATATTAAATTACATAATATTAACAATTAGATAAGAGTAGATTTTTTGATATGATGGCTCTTCTTTTATCTAATGACTTATTTTGTAATCTGGTGATATTTAAAGTTTATTTATTTTTGTCTTTTTATTTTAATGGAAAATTAATTTTTAGTTCTTTCACTTTAAAAAACTCATTTCTAATCCCTAAGTTTAAAATTTAACCTCTTTTTAGTCCTTTTATTATTTTTTTTTGTATAAATGTTATGTTAAATAACAAAAATTTTAAAGTAAAGAGATTAAAAAATGGATTTTTTTCAAAGTAAAACAACAAAAAAGAAGCTTGTTTTAAAGTGAAAAGACAAAATAGAGCCTCTTTTAGTCCCTTTTTATCCTTCTACTTAAAAATTTCTATCATCTAACATGTTATATGTGTGAAAAGTAACAGATAGACTAAAAAAGAATTAGATTTCAAATTTTAATGACCAAAAAAAGACTTTTTTTTTAGTAAAAGAACTAAAAAAAGCTTTTGATTAAAATAGAAGGACCAAAATGAAGTTTTAGCCATATTTAAACTACAGAGCTGCGATTCTGACTAGGAAGATTTTTTTTTTTTGAATATTTAAAGACATAATGGTTAATGTTTAAAATTTTATATTTGCAATTAAAAATTTATTCTCTCCATTAAAAGGTTAAAGTAATAGGAATGAATTTAGAGTAAAACCATTCAATGTTATCTAAAATAAAGAGTATGTTTTCAGTTTGATTTAATTATCTCACTTCATCTATTTACAATTATCCAAAATTTTTATTTATTACAATTCTTGATATTAATCTTTTCATTTTTACCCTTAATTTCATTTCAAAAAAAATTTTATAAAGCGGATTATATGTTTTACAAAGCGGACTATATATTAAAATTGCAATCTACCTTTTGAATTTACTAAAATACCTTTAGTAAAACTATTTTTATACTATTTCATTAAAAGCATTTTAGTAAATTTATAAGATAAACTGTATTTTTAGTAGACAGTCCGACTATAATACATAAATCCCATTTCAATTAAACCAAAAAACCTCTAACACCATCTCTATTTAACAATAGGGGGAAAATTGAAGTAGTCGTATTTAAAGTCCTTTTTTAAACGGAAAGTGAGAAAATTAATTTAGACCATTTAAGGTATCTTTATTCAGCAGGCGTGATAAATAAATCGTAGTGGGAGAAGTAAAACAACTAAAAAAAAAATACCAACATTTAATATGTGAAACAACTAAATTCAGATCTGGTTAAGCTAAGGGCTAGAAGAAGAGTTATGAAAAACACATAAAACAAATTTAACCTTCTGAATTAAGATTTTTTTTGTGCAATGTTCAAAATTAGAATTATATACAAAGCATTTCCGTTCTAAGTTTTTAGAGAAATATATAAAATTTGGGCCTAGCTGTTCAAGGCCCATTCACTCCCATATCTCATTCTTCCTTCTTTGGATCAAACAAGTTGGGCCCAAGGTCTCTGTTGTTTGGGCCAAAGAAGAATTTGACTTAAGGAAAAAAAGTTGTTTTTTTCAACAATAATATAGTTATAAACTTATAATATTACATAACATTGTTACAATCCTACATAGTTTTAAATGAAATATAACATAATATTAAATGAATAAATACATATAATATCGTAAGTAGACTCTTGAATAAAAAAAATTCATTATATAACTACACATTATAGGTATATTATAAACTTACAAAACCATTTAGCATGTAACCGATTGAGTATGTCACTTCTCAAACAAATGATTGGTTATTTGACATCGAAGCAAATACTCATGCTACCATTGATTTCTAGAGGTTAGGCTTGTTGACAGAATATGAGGGTACAGATTCAGTTGTCACTGACAATGTTACAAGTTTACCTATCTCACATGTTGGTGTTCATATTTAGACCATACCTCTTCCCCTTGACCAGAATAAGTATATTCCCCATCATATATAACCTATTTATAGCATGCAACAACAGCCTTCATTCAAGGGCTATAAAAAACTGACAGTTTTATTCCCCTAATCATATAGGACACATGCAGAATAGGATAGAGATGAGTGATGGACCGGAGGATTTGGAGTCTAGATGAGGAAGCAGGGTGCAGGCCTACCTATATATAGTATATGGATGATCTCATTGTTTTTTTATCTATAGATAAAATGACAAAACATCATCAACTGAAGTATATATATGCCAAATCAACACAGATTCACAGAATCAACATAATCAACAATGAAATGTCCATCCACAATTTGGTGCTCAAGAAAGATATGTAACTTTGGAAAAACAAGCTTTATGGAGGAATAGTGATCCAACCCTAAATTCATAATCGAGATAAAGAATTAAAAACAAATTTCTAGTATTCAAAACAAGCCAGCAAATATATATTAATCATATAATGCAGTAACTATGTAACATGTAATACTTCATTAATGTTTTACTTTATCATAGAATATATATGGTCTCAAATCCGTACTTATAGAAATTATTTTGGAAAATACTTCATATATTATATGCCCTACCGGCTGACAAAACCGACCCTCATCTCCTAATATCAAAACCTTTAGGTGGAGAATAGAATCTGCGCAAGGTCGTCAACTTTGACAGAATCATCTTCCTCTATTGCATCCAAGATATCAACCATAAGCTCGTCTTGACGCGCCATCATCTGCAGTAGCAGCCGGTGCCCCATTCTAATTTCGATCATTTTTGATAGAATGTAAGGGATTAATGCTGCATTGAATTGCTTTAACTCGTCTCCAATGCTATTCAGTTCTTCCTTTACCTCTTTCATCCTCTTTGCCTCCTTCACTTCCTAGATTAATTAATTTTCAATCAAATTATTTAGTTTTGGCACAGAAAAGAAAAAAAAATATCAACTATCATATATAAAATAATGCAAGTACCTGACGCAGTGCACGCTTCCTTTTGTGAGTGACATTGTCCTTTTTTCCTCGCTTACCTGTCTCCAATGATGTATGGGATAACTCTCGTCACTCTTTCATAATATTTATTGGAAATAAAGAAACAAAATTCATCGACCAAATGGATAGAAACAAAGATTTAATTATGCAAGAAGGAAACAAACTTTTATGCTGCATTGTTTTACAAAATAGGTTTCTAAAAAAAATAAAAAAATAAATTCTTCTATGTTTAATCAGTAGCCCCAAACAAAACCTTACAATAAAAAAACAAAAACAGTTGCCTACGAATAATCTGTCTTAGATGTGGGAGGGTACGATTGTGCATATATCCCACGAATCAAAGACGATTCGACTGCGCCCGCTATCGAAGGATCGATGAGCCAAAACTGAATAGACGGCCATACCCATACTGAGCCCAGATCTAGGCTTAGGGTTGAGTTTGAAGACCGTACGTGATGGGTCGGCGTCATCCTGGAGGAAGAACCGACCCGATCAAGTTAAGCTCAAGCTGCAGCCAGACTATCCCCAGGCAAACTGTAATGACCGGGATTGGCGTCGCCGCCGCGGGAGACTCGACCTGACCCACTCAAACGCCGCCAACACACGCAAACGCACACCAAAAACTCACACCAACATCTCCTGCAAAACTAATTCTTTGCCAATTTACGCGTGGAGCTTGAGCTCAATTGGCAAGTGCATATTTTCTCATTCAAAAGAGATTTTTTTGAATGGGTTTGAATCCCTTCCCCCAATATCAAAGAAAAGAAAAGAAAAGAAAAGAAAAGAAAAAAAACAATTACCCGTTAATAGTTTGTCTAAAAATGCACTGAATCTGTTACTGACCACACACACACTTCACGGAGAAATCAAATAGAAAGCAAAAGTAGGTTACCACTCTCATCAGAATTGGCCAAGATAACGGGATCCGTTTGCGGCGGCTCAGCGGCGGAGTTTCTGGATGAGTTTTGAGGGCCGAGCTTCATTCTGAGATACAGTGGGTTCAAAGAAGTTTCTCTTTCTTTTTCTGTAGAAAGAGCAAAACAAGTAATC